TTGAAATCTTTTCTTCTTCGTTTAGTCAAGGACAGCCGATTGACGCGCGCCTAACGACCGTTTCCCTCTATATTTTTCCTGTGACTTGGTGCTCAAGCTGCCTATTTCGCTTTGTACCTTACTTCATTTTTTGTGCTTGTTCATCTTTCATTCTATCGTTTTGAGCAATCGATTCTGTCGACAACATTATAAGTGTTTTAAATAATTGAAGTATATGGCGTTACCTGATGGAATTGCGGCTCTTTTGCTCTGTAGATGTTTACGTAAACGATATATATCGTACATCTTGACAAATTACTTCTGAAAGTTTATAACATTAGTGGATGGCGAGATTTTGAAACTTCACCATGTGGGTTAATGTTCATCGGTAAAAGCTTTAACATGGAATACCATATTCTTTCAAATCACACGTATCACGCTGTAGTTAAGCATTGTTTTCCTTATGCGTAGTTCTTTAGGTCAAACCAAAGATTTGGACCGCACACGTGAACGGAAAGAAGCACCGCGATTCTGTTGAACGACTAAAACAACAACTGGTGTCTGGCCCGAAGCGACCAAACGATGCTTCGGCTGCTCATAATGGTGCACCTCCCATGAAAAAGACAAGAGGTATTTGTTCTGACTATTCTGGACTGTATCCTCTTCAAATTTTTGTTCCAGAGGACTCGCAACCTGTTCCATCTTCAAATGGCCCTTTGCCGTCGGACTTCTTTGATGAAGAACCAGGACTGAGGTTAGTGAGATTTCCTGCACTGGCCTCGAAATCTCGTCATGGTCACATAATTTGATAATTTCAGTATTCAAACGCCATGGCAGAAAAACAAAGATGAAGAAAATGCCCATCTTCGAGAAAGAAAAGGCGTTATAGAAGGTGTACCTCAAGGGTTCTTCGATGATAAAAGGAGAGATGGAATGGTGCGGGTTTAATCCTCATATTATCTTGTGTTGATTCGCAAACAAGCCTTTCAGGTTAGGGAAACAATTGAGAATGAAGCACAAATGAACGAGGAGTATGACCGGTTAATGCGTGAATTGAACGAACAAAATCATGAAGATGAAGCAAAGGTATCAGCTTTACATTAATTTATCAAGTACTTTTGATTTACATCACTTTGTTACATATTGCAAATTTCACGATGATTTTTCTTTGAGCTAAGACGACTTTTGGGTTTTTGCGCGGTGCTGATGCGCATGCCTAATTTTTCTCAAAACAGTTTACCACTTTCTGGAAATTCTCTCTTAATAGGCAGGTGACAGTATAGATAAGCTGTTTTTGTCATTAGCTTTGACAATATTCCGTTGACTTGGTTGCGGTGTCATGTCCTCAATCCTTGAAATAACTGCTAACAAGCAACTCAATTCAAATTTCAACATTATTAGTCAATTCCAGAACTTGAATCTTTGTGTCTAACAATCTCATTACTTTATTGGATTTATTTCTCGAGTACGGCATCTGCTCTCTTCTAGGCAGAAGAAGAAGATGAACAAGATGCTCTCTTCCGCGATATCTCTAACGCAGACGATCAGATGGAAAATTGGATGCGATTGAACGCTATGGAGAAGTTGAAGGAAGCACGATTACAAGAGGTTGGCATAGTCTTCTGATCTTTATTTCCTCTCCATCCACTTTCTTTTATTTCTTGTTTTTTT